TTATTTGTTTTCGTAATATATTCGTTTTTATATATCTGCTCAATACGGCCTCTCACTTTGAAATCGAGACGGGGATCAATATTTAATGTTTCGGTAACGGACGATGGATGATTTGTATATGAGATATGAAAAACTTGTTTTGAAAAATCTGTGCTATCATCAGGTTCCAATTCTGCTCGCGAAATGTTAACTTTTTCTCCCAACAATACTTTGATTGACGGTGACGAAATAAAATCTCTACCAAGCAATGCGGCGCAAGTCATCGCTGTGTCCGGTACTACAAAAAATTTAATTTTTATTATAACACTATTAACCTCGACATCTCTCTCAAAAATTCCTAAAATTTCTAATTTTGTACCATTAATACCGTAAAATGATTGGTTTTCTACCGCCGGAATACAATTGTCAAGGGGAACAAAATTTTTTTTTATTAAGCTTATTGGAGATCCCGAATCGATCATCGCTACTAATGAACATTTATACTCGTCGTTCGAGTTACTCGCAATCTGATATGTAAGATTTACCAAGTATGGGGCGACCGGCGGGATTGCTTGAATCATGTTCGTTGTATTCTCTGCCTTTGGTTGTGATTTAGGACAGCCTTGTATGCGATGTCCGACGCTGCCGCATCCAAAGCACGAGCCCTTCTCGCGCCTTGGCTCCCGCTTACAATCTCTGGAAAGGTGCCCGGGTGTTCCACAGTTATAGCAGCGAACCGGATTGCTCCGTATCGTGGCAGTTCCCTCTTTATGTTGCGATTCCATCGAAGTTCCTGATTGCTGTCCTCTCACAGTTTGCTCTGCGTTATTTTTCAATTCCACATCCAGTGACAAACTCCGAAAAGCATCCAACAAGTCCGTCGCAGATGCAAAGCGGAACATCTTTGCCTGACTGCGCATGTGAGGGTCTGGTACTCCATCAATCAGACAATCGATAAGTTCCTCCTCATCAATCGATGCTTTATTTGCGAGAATTGTTTTCTCATAGAAATATTCTGAGAACGCTTCCCCGCTTCGCCATTTGCGACTTTCCAAGTTTTTTCTCAATGTCGATTTGCTCGGCCGATTATTAAAGACTCGAGACATCTCTAGCAATAACTCGGTGGTATTCAGTTGTAGATATTCTGGTCTTGAGTGAAACCAATTCAATGCTTTATTTTTCAGTCGCGAGTTGATCAATATTTTAGTCGCGTTTTCATCGAGTTGATAAGTGACGCGTAAAAGTTCGACTTGTTTTTTCCATATGTCAAAATTATTGCAATCGCCGTGGAACTCGTTCAATAGGTTGCCAATGGCTTGAATATTAAATTTTGGATCGAAAACGCAATTATTATTAACACTGTTTCCCGCGTCGACCGATGTTTTTTGTTCCCTTCGAGCGAGGCTCAATTCTCGCTCCAGCAATGCCTTCTCCCGTCGCAACAGCTCGAGCTCTCTTGCCATCAGCTCTGGCGGCATTTCGCGATGATGCGGTGTTACCGCAGCCTCTTCAGGACGCGACATTGGGTTCGAATGGATCTCTTCATCTGAGTTCGATTGCCCCGACGTACTAGCGTCAGTATCCACTATCGGCAAATTATGCGCTGCACCATCACTCAACCGCTCAGCCGCCGCCCTCCAAATATGTTCTTTGACGGACAGTATCCGAGTCACCAATTCGGCTTTTGTTCCCGCCATCGGTTGTCCAATAGATCGTGCAACTTCTCTTAAATTTATTACCGTTAACTGGTTTAAGTCGTTTCGAGGTGACCCCTCCATTTCACAACACCACCACTCAATAACAAGTATGTAACATGTAAAGCCGTTAACAATTCAAATTCACGACAACAAAGTACGCCAAGCGTTGCAAGTCAATAATTGCAGTCCGAAACAATATCAAATTTCAATTCAATATGCACAAAATTTATAGCGATAACTACTATTACCGTCGCTAGTCGTCAAATCACAAATTGTCGAAGCACCGTTTTAAACAGACAAATTAAATTTTATATCCGCGAGCAAGTCGTATTTAACAGGCACAAATGGATTTTCTCTGTAGACGTGGACCACTTCTGATTTGTAGGAGAGAAGGACAGTGGTGATAAATGAAATGATATATCAAATCAAATCGTTATATTAAAGTTCGCTTACACGTACAGTGACTTGCTCGCTCGCTACGCTTCGACTGACTCGATGTGTACGCGGATGAGGACGATCTCTCGCTTTTGGAAATCGCGAAAACAAGTAAAAACTAAGTACGTCACATAGCACGTTGTTATTGAGGTAAAGTCACTCGGTAGGCACGTGTCACAACACTTGTAGCGGTCCATATATATTACAAGCCGCCTACAAATATTTAAATTTTTCTTGCAACTAAAATTAAAATTAAAGTTTATTTCACGCCAAATTCAACCATATATAATAAAGTTGCGATCCGTAAACGTGTTTTTGAGAAATAAACTGAAAACATCCTTACAGGGTATGCTGTCAATTTTAATTCAAACATCTAAAGGTTGTATAAAAGCAGTTGTTTTTTTTGGTATTGTTAAAATATTTACTTGTTTGTCTTTTGGTACAAGTTCTATACAACCTTTAGATGTTTTTGGCTTTAGAATTTGGAAAAATTTTATTCGAAGCTTCTCTGATAATGTTATTTTAAATAATTACGATATAAATTTACATTTACGCAATAACATTATAAAATTACAGTCTTTGGCACACAATCAACTTTCTTCTCCAAGATTTCGAAATTTATTTGAATATAGTTGGTATAAAAGTGGCTATTTATCAACACGGCCTGAAAAATTTGAAAATCCAATCAATTACTGTTATTTTAAAGAAGAAAAACATATACCGAAATGTAGCATTTGTGATAAAATGGCTTTTATACGTTGTGCATGGTGCAAAAAATACTTCTGTTTTGAACACTTCTTTGAACAATACCATTATTGTAACAATTATATAGAATAAATAATATCTTATTTTTGTAAAAACTACTATATTATTTATAAAATGTGTAATATACAAAAATCAGTTACGTGATTAGATTTATTACGAACATCTGTTTCATCGTTATCTTGTATTGCGAAAAATTACAGAGAGAAGGGGAGAAAGAGAAGTCGTAGCCAAAATTAGCGGGCCGATAAAATTGACAGCATACCCTGTAAGGATGTTTTCAGTTTATTTCTCAAAAACACGTTTACGGATCGCAACTTTATTATATATGGTTGAATTTGGCGTGAAATAAACTTTAATTTTAGTTGCAAGAAAAATTTAAATATGAAAAAAAAAGATACGTGGTGGGGGTATTTTGAAAAATTAAACATTTTTGCAAAATATGATCATGCCATTATAAAGAGCTTTCGAAACCATAAAACTTTTGCTGGAAACATTTTTTTATATTTCTCATTATTTCGGCGATATTCGCTTGAAAACGTAAACACCGATTTTATTTAAGGGGATGCTGCACCCCTAAAACCGAATATCAGCAGCTAAAAAAAATTGTTTCGTGATTAGGTTCATCTACTCTAAACTTATACAAAGTTTCAGATTTTTTTGAATTTTACACTTGCCGAACTTCCCTTGTTAGTCTCTTAACTGCTTGAACCGATTATTCATTATTCACCTCGTCTGCGATACTGACCGCGAGCCACGTGTATCCGCAAAAAGACAAAGCTCGGTATAATCGCATAAACGATCGACGTACTTCCGCGTTGATAATTGCGATACTGCGGACGTCGAGAGCCAGGAATGAGAGGATAGATTTTATCCCACTTCTGAGGCTGTAAGAGGGTCGTTTGATTCCTAATCATGGAAGAACATAGGTCAAAATAATGAGGCAGGGATTAATCAGTAATCACCTTAGTGGTAAACTTAGTATATTCTTAAGTAAGTAAGTATTACAAGGAAGGCTCTAGAGAGACTGACTGTCTCAGCCCGCGCTCGTCTCTCTATGTCCTGTCAACTTCCGGTGGCGCTCGCTCGCCAACACTCTACATAAGCACCACCTCAAACGCCCTGACACCTAAAGGTGTCTCCACAGCGGGTTATTTCTTACTATATATATATATATATATATATATACATATATAACAGACTATTATAATCTATTTTCTTGTTACGCAATCATCCTATTATTTTTTCATAAGAATATAATTGTTAATTTTATAATATTTTAGAAAAAATAATAGGATAATGGCGTGACAAGAAAATAGATATTATTATATGAAAAAATATTTTCATAATATAATCACATATATGTACAGTATTGCATATCACATATTTAGTATATCACAAACATATTCTTTCATAAATACAATATATATTTATATAATAATATTTGATATTTGTGTTGATAAACTTTTTGATATTTGTTACTTTTATTATGTTACGTTATCATTTTATACTATTTCTTTCATAATAATTTTCTGCAACGTTACCATTGTACTACATCTTTCATAAATATATAAATCATTATTATTGGTAAAGATTGTTTCCTTATTTTACATCAATAATTATGTACTTATAAAAAAAGAAAGTGTAGCAAGAAAGTTATTATTATAAAAGAAATAATTTAAAATGATAACATAACAAGAAAGTAGTTGCAAATATCAAAATATAAATATGCATTTATATACTTACTTAAATACATGTTGTATTCAATACTATATAATATGTAATATACTATATTTTTTTCATAATAATATAATCTATTTTCTTGTTACGCAATCATTCTATTATTTTTTCATAAGAATATAATTGTTAATCTTATGAAAAAAATAATAGGATGATTGCGTAACAAGAAAATAGATATTCTTATATAAAAAAATATAGTATATTATAAATAAATATCAAAACACACATACCTGTTATGTGTGTATGTACATGTCAAGAAATCAAATCAAATATATAACCCCGCACGTCAACGTGTATCAGTACATACGAAGCGCCTTCAGCGCAATCTTGTGTCGAACGCTCAAACTGTACAGAGTTTAACGCATGCGATTGGCTGTTGCGTGAATGATGACGACGGTGACAGAGACGTTTCTTAAAAGAAATTTTTCATACTTAGACTTTGCATATAAATATTTCCGCTTACAAAGTACGTAGAGCAGAAATAAAAACACTTTTATTATATAATTCAAACCCAATCTATCGATTAAGTTTAGTATAAACTCGATTGCTTCAGCCGTTATTGAGCATTCGAAATTTATAGTAGACTCAACTCTCCGCTTCGCGTAAAGATACACGGTGTATCGGCTATTCCGGTAACAGGGCGCGAGACACTACCGTATCTCTTAATATATAAAATTGGTAAATAAATTCCAAGCAATGCAACAAAGCGCCGCATGTGATGAAATAGTCGACCCTTATTTTTCCCGACTTTATTGCTGCAGATTTTATACGTGTAAAGATGCCGAGTCCGTACTCCTCTTTATAACCTCCGTACATCATCATTTGATTTTTAATAAGTTGTATTTTAGGGTCACATTTACGGATGGGTTAGGGATCACAGAGTACACCATAAATTTACTGACACTGATGCAGATCCATATAATGCACGTAAAGGATTCTTTTTTTCGCATATTGGTTGGATTTTGGTTCATAAACATCCAGACGTCATCAGCAAGGGTGCTATGATCGACTTGAGTGATCTTAAACAAGATTGCCTTGTGGTCTTTCAGAGAAAGTACGATGGACATAGTTTATTCTGCAGGAGCAAATTTAATTTAAAAAATATATGTATATATTGTTTATTTAACTTTAATGGTTTTGTTTCTTTTATTTATACTTTTTTTAGATGGTACCGATATTTGATGTTATTTTGCTGCTTTATCATACCGACATTAATACCTTGGTGGGTATGGAGTGAGAATCTGTGGTGTGCGTGGCATCTTAACATGACTAGATGTGTCATAAATTTACACACAATATTATCAATAAATTCCGCAGCTCACATGTGGGGTGTGAAACCATATGATAAGTACGTACATACTTTTGTGTGTACATATTATATTTATATATATTGTACTTATATGCTGTACAACTTATTATATGTAAACATATACATACTATTATTTAAAATTAATAAAAACATATACATACTATCATTCAAAATTAATAAATTGTTTATTGTATTATATCGTGGTACTATTTAGAAATGTTTATTTTATCACAGATCAATTAGCCCCACCGAAAATGCAGTTGTCTCTTTTATATCGTGTGGCGAAGGCTGGCACAATTATCATCACGTTTTCCCTTGGGATTACAAAGCGGCGGAACTTGGAAATTATAAGCTCAATATTGCTACAGCTTTTATTGATTTTTTTGCTTATCTAGGTTTAGCTTATGATTTAAAAACTGCATCTGCCAAAATTGTGAAAAAACGTGCTCTTCGAAACAGCGAAATAAATTAAAATAAATAAAAAATGTATGTGTTACATGTAATTCTTAATGTGATTCAGTTGTAAGTTATAATAATATTGATAATAAAATAACTTTCTTTAATGCTTGAAAAAGATGCAATTAATTTTATGTAAAACATTTTGAGTGAGATGCGAAATGTGAGATAACGATTTCTGTTGAATATTGCTTGAATGACTAAAAGTTATTATGCCTTAAAGTTTGCTTTATTTGCTTCTTACACAAGTGAAATAATGTTTTGATTTTATGTATAGGAACAATAGAGTATCGTTTGCCTTGGAAGAATACGTTTCATAATATTGATATGAACTTAAATACATAATATGATAATAATATAATGATACAAAAGATTCAAGAACAATACAAAATATTTGTTTTAAATAATTAAATTAAATAAGTAGATACAGGTTGCATAAATTTAAATATAAAAATAAAAAAGAAAGACAAAGGAACTAACGCCGTAATTATCGCGCAAATAATTATTAAATATTGTTACGTCCTGCAGTCTCCACGATCCTTTCTTTCGGAGAACGCAATGCGATATCTAAAATATAGCAGACGCATAGAAAACTCACGTAAGCATACGATCTGACAGGCAAAGTAAACATAATCCGAGAGAGCTAAATCGTCAAAATAAAAGATGTACAAACCGCGAGAGCCAAACAGACTAATCTATAAATTCTAAACTATAACTCGCGGTGCCTTAAAGATAAGCTAGTTGACAGCTCTCTAAATGAGATTTACTCTAGTATTAGGCCCTGCTTACTTTACGATTCTTTCTTTCGGAGAACGTAAGACGATATTTAAAATATTAAAATATTAAATTATCTGCAGATCGCAGACCCGCAGATAAGCCATGATGTGACAAGCAAGGCAAAACATTTTCGTGCCTAGAAAAATATTAAACTATAACCAACTGTTCTCTTCAATGAAACTAATTGAGAATCAATAAATTTTTAAAGATTAACCGATTCTAAGGCCGGATTCACACCTTAGCAGAAAAGCAGAAGCCAATTAAAACTCGCATTGATAGCTGAAAAATTCAATTTATTAACTCGGACGGGCGTCTTTCCGTATGAATATATAGATTGTGTAGTTAAATTGCAAGATACACGTTTACCACCGCGTGACTCATTCTACAGTTCCTTGATCGGTGACACAGTATCGAGAGCGATTACGCGCACGCCGAGAACGTCTGAAAACGATTTTCCCTTGGAACGCTAGACGAATATAGCGATCTATATTTGAAAATCGATGTCTTGTTATTAGCAGATATTTTTGAAAATTTTCGGGATAGTTGTATTAAAAGTTATGGACTCGACCCCGCGTATTATTATACCCTTCCGGAATATACATGGGATGCCATGTTAAAACATACAAATATTACGTTTGAATTATTAACAGACATTGGCATGGTCATGTTTATCGAACGGAGTATACGCGGTGGTCTACATAAGTCAATGTTCAAGCAGATATGCACATGCTAATAACAAGTATATGCAATCGTATGATCCATTGAAACCATCATCGTATTTCATGTATTTTGACGTAAATAATTTGTACGGATGGGCAATGTGTCAACCATTGCCTTATGCCGATTCTCGATGAGTCGATGATGTATCTAATTTTGATGTATCATCTATTGCGCTCGATTCATCTAAAGGCTATATCCTTGAAGTAGATTTAGAGTATCAAAAAATTTATATAAACTGATAAATAATGCTGTATTTGGTAAGATGATGGAAAATGTGCGTAATCGAATTGATGTAAAACTTATAACATATTGGGAAGGGAGATACGGTGTAGAGGCAATGATTGCAAAACCAAATTTTTATAGTAGAAGCATCTTTTCAAATAATTTAATTGCCGTAAAATTACGTAAATTTGAAGTAAAATTTTATAAACCAATCTATGTGTAGGCATGTGCATACTCGACATTTCTAAAACGTGTTTATACGAGTTTCATCACGAATACATGTCACCGCTGTATCCTGACAAATGCCGGATAATGTACACCGACACAGATAGTCTTATATATCACATTCAATGCGAAGACGTGTATGAGAATATGAAGCGCGATGTATGCAAATTTGATACGAGCGATTACGCTGCGGACAATGCGTACGGTATACCGCTAGTGAATAAAAAAGTACCAGGTCTAATGAAAGATGAAAACAACGGCTCGATAATGACTGAATTTGTAGGGTTTAGAACAAAAATGTACGCTTTGCGAGTGGATGGTAAGAAAGATACAAAAAAAGTCAAAAATGTCAAGAGTAACGTTATCGCGAGAACGATAACGTTTGACGATTATACGCAGTGCTTGAATGAAGAGATTAAAATGACGCGTCAACAATCTTGCATAAGATCCAAAGCTGCATAAGGTATACATCATTTGCGAGACAAATATTATGTAATTAATTAAGTGTGTTTGAGAATTAAATTCTTTTATTCAAAAGGTGACTTATCCTGTTGTGCCGCGCGATCCTCTCTCACGCAGCGCGTTTGTGAACAGTATACGTTTTACAAAAAAAAGTTTCAGACAAAAATTGTAGGAAAAAATCTATTTACTAATCTTATCAATTTGACCTTAGACGGCGTTATACAATAATTTTATTAGTGTTTTGGAAAGCTCTCTAAATAAGCTACGAGAATATGTAATAAAAAATATAGGATTCCATCTAAGAAATTCAAGGTGATCTTATTCTAACCTTGGTAACGCAATCCAAGGTCAAACTGATAAGATCAATTAATAGATTTTTTACAACTTTTGTCTGAAACTTTTTTCTGTAAAACGTATACTTTTCGAGATTTTTCAGTGTTCCGTCCTTTTTGGGACACCCTGTATATGAATATATATACACTTATATATCGATTTATTTAACAATCTGTCTGTCTATCTATCGAACTATCTATTGATTTATCTATTTATCTATCTATCTATATGTCTGTCTATCTGTCTATCTATTTATTTATCTATCTATCGATCTATCTGTTTCTATCTCTCTGTCTATTTTCTCTCTTCTACATTGCATTCTTTCATACATGCACACGTATATAATAATTGTTTTAAAATAATCTACATTACCAAAATAAAAATAATTAAATTTATAATCTAAAAATATATAAAATTTTTTATGAATATAAAGTTTTAGTGTATAATTTTTTGTAATAAATAAATGATTTATATAATTTATTCTCATCTAACTACTGCTCTGTTTGATAATAATGTTTTGATAATAGTGTTATTATCTATTCAATCTCAAAAATACTCTTCAATCTTTAAAATAAAATTTTATATAAATCATTTATTTATTACAAAAAATTATACACTAAAACTTTATATTTATAAACAATTTTTATATATTTTTAGATTATAAATTTAATTATTTTTATTCAATTATTTACTTTATAATCAATTATAAAAGATAGGCCTGTTTTTACACACACACACACACGCGCGCGCGCGCACGCACACGCACACGCACACACACACACACACATATAACTTGTTAGCTAAAATGTGGACAAAAAAATTTTTACACCCTAATCTACATACATACATATATATATATATATATATATATATATATATATATATATATATATGAGTGTGGCAAAAATTTTTTTGTCCACATTCTAGCTAACAAGTTATATGTAAGTGTGTGTGTGCGTGTGTGTGCGTGTGTGTGTATGTGTATAATAAGCTTATCTATAATAATTATAATTGATTATAAAATAATCCTTTGTAATAAATAAATGATTTATATAAAGTATTTTGAAGATTGAATATAATAATACTATTATTATCAAAACAGAGCAGTAGTTAGATAAGACTAAATTATATAAATCATTTATTTATTACAAAAAATTATCCACTTAAACTTTATAATCAATTATATTCATAAAAGATTTTTATAGATTTTTAGATTATAAATTTAATTATTTTTATTTATGTAATGCAGATTATTTTAAAAAAATTATATATACGTGTGCATGTATGAAAGAATGCAATGTAGAAAAGAGAGAAGAGACAGAGAGACAGAAACAGGAACACAGAGAGACAGATAGATCGATAGATAGATAGATAGATAGGTTGATCGATAGGTAGATCGATAGTTCGATAGATAGACAGACAGATAGCTAAATAAATCGATAGGTATATATATATATATATATATATACATCATTTGCGAGACAAAAATTGTTCTAAGTTCACACGATGACAAGCGGTATATCGTATCTGAAACCACCGAAACATTGCCATGGGGACATTATAAAATATCATTGTAAATTTTTTTATTATATTTATTGTATATTATTATTATTTTATATTGATTATATAATATATATATATATATATATATATATATTAGACTGTTTAAAAAAAAACATATTTTTTTTTTTTCATGAATAAACATATTTCAAAAGTTTCTTTATTATTAAAAAATTTATTATTAAAAAATTTATAGATGGAGAAAATATTGAAAATTTCAAAATCATCTTTATTTTTAGAATGATCTCAAGAATACAAAGTTTCACTGTAGACATCAGTTGCAGGACACCCTGTATATACATACATACATACATACATAATACATATATATATATATATATTAGACTGTTTAAAAAAAAAACATATTTTTTTTTGAAAATCTCTCCTCCAATTTTAAAGTCGACCAGACTGGCAATAATTTATTTAAAAAATTATTAGTTAAATTACAACGTTTCGGCTGTCATTGCAGCCCTTTTCAAGTAATCTATGAACAATTATATACATATAAATATACTCTTAATGCGCTTAATCATACAAATAATTATAAATTTACAAAAATATATATGTTTACATACCAGATTAATACAATAAATCAAATTTACAGCAAACCCCCGACAAAATTAACCATTGTTTTGATGAACAATGTATAACTGACAGAAGTGAGCACGAAGAAAAATAGATGTTGACTGTTAGCAGGAAACTTAGTCACTAACGCGTTGAGAAAATAGAAAACCAGAGTACTGTGTCTTT